CTTCCCTAAACCCCCACTTAAAAACTAAGGACCCAAAACAGTAGTGACTCACGAACCCCCCCTCCCACCCACAGACCGTGGGTGGGGTTACGGGCCGTACTGGCAATCTGTGGCTTGCATTAGAGAGGGGGAGAAAATGGGGAGGCTCAGCCTCGACCCACGACCCCCACCTACGTAGCATGGGTCCACCCACAGTTCGTGGGTGCCCATCCGTAGGTGCTGCTGGTTTTTGGCAGCTTTTTGGGCCTTCTCTTGGGTCCTCCTCAAGGACCTATGGTTGGTCCTTGAGGGTCGTCCCTTGACGTTTAAATCCAATAACACTTGTATTACTTAATGGAGGTTAGTTTATGACTATATTCATTACCTTAAACTTATATAGGCTACTAGTTTTACGTTAGGCTTTAGTTTAGCCTTACTAGTTTCATCGGGTGTTACATTATCTCCCACTTGGGAACATTCATCCTTGAATGATGATTTAGACACCAAACTAACTTTAGAACTCAAGACTAGTTGCCCATCATGCATGAAACATCAAAATAATGCACAACTCAAGGATGCACTATTCACAAATTGCACTATTCTAAGGAGGAAACTTTAACTCCATTTCAAACATAATCAATGCATCATAAGGAAGTAGGAACTACATCTATCAACCAAAAATGCATGAAATTTAACATTTCTTATGTTGATAGAAGGAACTATCTTCTCCATCAAAAGCATGCTCAACACAACATCATGGAGCCAATATGCCATCTCATAAAAAACATAATAAAGCATGTTCATCAACACATCTCATGAAGTCAAATATGCAACATCATACTAAAAATGCACAACCACATGAGGAAACATATACTCATTTTTTTCATTAACCATGAATTTCATCATGAACATGCATCATTTAAGAAAACCATGGAAAACATACTACTTACACATGACTTTCAAAACAAGGAAATTCTAGAGAAACTATTTACCTCAAGCTTGAGTAGGAGTAGAAAGAAAGAGATGAGGGTATCGGGACTTCCTGTCGGCCTCAGTAGCACCCTCAACTAGATGATTTCTTTACAAAACCTTAACGGAAGGTACCTCCTTGTTTCTTAACTTCTTGACTTGCCGGTCAAGATTCTCTACTGAAGCTTCTTCATGGGAAAGGCCTTCATCAATACTTAACCCTTCTAACGGAATAATGGTCATCGGGTCCCCAACACACATCTTAAGCATAGAAACATGAAACACCGGGTGAACCGGGGCCAACTCATTTGGCAAGTCCAACTCATAAGCAAATTTCCCAACACGCTCCAATATTTGGTAAGGACCTACAAACCGAGGACTAAGTTTTCCCTTTTTGCCAAATATCATCACACCCTTCATGGGTGAGATTTTCAAATAAACCCAATCACCAACTTCAAATTCTAACACTCTTCTCCTTACATCGGCATAAGATTTTTGCCTACTTTGAGCCATTTTCAACCTCTCTCTAATAAGTCAAACTTTTTCAATAACTTCATAAACAGACTCGGGGCCAATAAGAGCAATGTCACCTACTTCAAACCAACCAACCGGAGACCTACATCTCCTACCATACAAAGCTTCAAAAGGAGCCATACCTATGCTTGAGTGGGGACTATTATTGTAGGCAACCTCCACCAAGGGCAAGTGGTCATCCCAATTACCTTTAAAATCTATTACACATGGCCTCAACATGTCCTCTAAGGTTTGAATGGTACGTTCCACTTGACCATCCATTTGAGGGTGGAAAGAGGTGCTAAGCTTCACCTTAGTGCCAAGCCATTTTTGGAATGACTTCCAAAAGTGAGAAGTAAATTGAAGACCCTGATCCGAAATGATAGATAGAGGAATCCCATGGAACTTCACTATTTCCCTTATATACACCTTGTCATAGTCTTCCGCCAAGTGAGATACCTTGATGGGAATGAAATGGGCTGAATTAGACATCCTATCAACAATGACCCAAATAGAATCATATTACCTTCAAGTACGGGGCAACCCCACAGTAAAATCCATATTCAACTCCTCCCACTTCCAAGTGGGAATTGGCATATCTTGCAAGAAACCTCCTGGTTTTCGATGCTCAACCTTGACTTGTTAACAATTAGGACATTTGGCTACAAATTCCGCAATATCCTTCATCATACCATTCCACCAATAAACTTCCCGTAGATCACAGTACATCTTGGTGGCTCCCAGATGAATAGAATATCTAGAACAATGAGCCTCTTCTAGAATTTTCTCCCTTAGCCCATCCACATCCGGAACACATAACCCCCTTGGGAGAAAGCCTCAACGGATTTCCCGAGTACCGATTCTTTCAACTCCATCAATATAGGATCAAGGTGTTTCTTGGACTTCACATCTACAACAAAAGATGACTCGGAGCTATTATGAATCGTGAAACCACCTTTGGGAGAATCTACTAGTTGGACACCTAACTGAGCCAACCTATGCACATCACAGACTAATTCTTTCCTTTCATCCTCTATGTCGGATACACTACTCATGGATAGTCTACTAAGGGTATCCGCCTCTTCTAGAATTTTCTCCCTTAGCCCATCCACATCCGGAACACATAACCCCCTTGGGAGAAAGCCTCAACGGATTTCCCGAGTACCGATTCTTTCAACTCCATCAATATAGGATCAAGGTGTTGCTTGGACTTCACATCTACAACAAAAGATGACTCGAAGCTATTATGAACCGTGAAACCACCTTTGGGAGAATCTACTAGTTGGACACCTAACTGAGCCAACCATGCACATCACAGACTAATTCTTTCTTTTCATCCTCTATGTGGGACACACTACTCATGGATAGTCTACTAAGGGCATCCGCCACAACATTAGTTTTGTCGGGGTGGTAAAGGACACTCATGTCATAATCCTTTAAAAGCTCTAACCACCTTCTTTGTTAGAGATTCAAGTCATTTTGGGTAAACACCTATTGAAGACTTTTGTTATCGGTGAAAATATTTACATGCACCCCATACAAGTAATGTCTCCATATTTTCAAAGCAAATACCACCGCCGCTAATTCAAGATCATGAGTCGGATAGTTCTTCTCATGTATTTTGAGTTGCCTTGTCACGACCCAAGGCTAGCCCATAGACGCGACATGGCGTACTTGACCACGAAGGGGTCGCATACAAGCCTCTAGCATCATCATTACATAAGACATAGAAATAATGCGGAAAAATTTAAAACTTTACAATCAAAGTTCAACTTCACTTTTCATAAAAGAAAATCATAGGGAATCTAGACTTTGTCTCATTTACCATCTAGACATAGGAATACAAAGTTTTGGGACTAAGCCCTTTACATTAACAAAAGTCACAATATACGAGATACAAAACGAACCTAAGAATTAGGAAATCCCGTCCTCGAACTTGAGGACTCACCACAACTTGGAGATAACCAATCCAAGTCTTCTTCAAAAGGAGAGTGAAAGTCACTTAGCTGGAACCTACACTCATTAAGATGTAGAAGGAAGAAGGGGTTAGCACATAATATGTACTAAGTATGGAAACATGCATAAAAATCCATAAAAGATGATAAAAAGGACATTTTATTTGAAAAGAATGCATTTATCAAGTATGGAAACCAACATACATTTTCAATGTCAAAGACAAGTCATAATCATCTTTACATTCGCAACATAGTAACATCAACACCTTAGAAACCCCTAAGGAACACTTGTGCAATGTATGGTTGACATCCCATAATACCAACCCTACTAAGAACCCCCAAGAAGTTACCTTTGTTATGCACATCATCTTTAGACCTCATCATAATCATTAGTCACAATTAAGGAAATAGTCATGTACATTACTGGAATACAAGGGAAGTCATTCATAACAACTATCCATTCAATACACATGCATACATTTAATCCTCATCATAATATAAAGGAACCATCCCACAACATCCTACTAAGTCTACTTGTGCAATGTGGAAGTGAAGTCCCATTCCCCCACTCCTACTAAGTAAACTCACCAAGAAGTCATAGTATAGTTCATGTCTCATTCATTTTCTTCATTATTATAGGGAAAAGTTGCCATAACTGACATAGACCATGTGAGCTACATAGAATCTGGTGTCGTGTAACTCCACACCGAAAGAAGGTGTCCTACTTGCCTAAGGTAGAACTAAAAGTATACACTACAAGAAAGTGGAGATACAACGACATTTTCTAAATGTCGTATGATGATGTTTAAATGTCACAAATTTGTTTACTGACATTTATTTTACATTTGGAACAAATGTCGTAAATTTTAGTGTCGAGAATTTTTCCGAACATTTAGGTAATTGTCGGGAAGAATTTGTGACATTTATTTTGTGACATTTAGGTAAATGTTGAAAAGAATTTGCGTCATTTACTTTGCAACATATATGTAAATGTTGGTAAGATTATTACGACATTTATTTTTTGACATTTATGTGAATGTTGATAAGAAATAAATGACATTTATTTTTTACATTTAGGTGAATGTCAGTATGAGATATATGAAATTTATTTTCGACATTTAGGTAAATGTCAATAAGAGATATATGACATTTATTTTTGACATTTAGGTAAATATCGGTATGAGATATATATGACATTTATTTTTGATAATTACGTAAATGTTGGTATGAGATATATGACATTTATTTTTTCGACATTTATGAAATGTCACTTACACTTTCTGACATTTTAGATTAAATGTTGGTAAAACAAATTCAAGACACTTACTTGTGACATTTATAAAATGTCACATTGAAATTTCTGACACTTTAGTTAATGTCAACAAATGCTATTATTGAATGTCATAAAAATTGGTGACATTATTTTATATTTTGCTAAATGTCATATTAATATTCTAATGTCGCTACCAAGTTTCTTAAACATCCAAGAAAAATCTATATATAGTTTTTCTCAAGACACAAATACATACAAACAATCTATGCATTCAAAACTATCTTCTTCATGATAAGAAATAAATATTATATAAAGTAAATATTTTCTAATATTATAATCAAAGAACAAAATAGCAATTTAATAAGTTTTCTGTAAAAGTAAACAATGTCAAAACAAATTATCTTTTCTATCTCAAGTAAAATTAAAATCTAACTAAATGTAATAATCTCAACATAAAACCAACTAATTAACTCCTAATTCAAATGAAATTAAAATCTCCAATAAATTTGCAATAAATCTTTATAAAATCATCAACCCAAAAGTCGAGCATTTTGAAGTCGATACTTGACCTCAATTTCCTTGAAAATTCTGCACAAGAAATGCACATAAGAAAATTTTATAACTATATAATAATAGAAATTAGATCCTAGTTAACTAGAAAAAATTGAGATATAAAAAATGACTAATTGATTTTTTACTAAAACAACATATTAAGGAATTGATGACAAAAGCAGTAATTATATACATGAAATTTTCCTCCTTTTGAAAGAAAAGAAAGATCTTGTAGTTTTTTCAAACATACCCACTTCTTTTTATTTGTGCCAACTATGGTAGTTCCAGTCTTCTTGATCATGTTAGCCTGAGAAAAAACGTTAAATTGATTATTTTGATACTTTACGACATACAAAAACTTAACATTTCATTGAATACATAAGTGTGCCAATTTTTTCAGAAGGAAATAAAAAAGGAAGATATATGATTGCTTCAACAAAACAAACATCTAGTGTTGGGACAAGGATACAAACAGACAAAGATACCTTCCTGGGTTGTGAGGAAGGTACTGGAATCTAGAGATCAGTTAATAAACAAACTAGGAAGTAATGGGACAATTCAACAACAACTTGTTAAAGCCCAACTTAGGGATAGATTTTCAATCCGGAAGATGTATGTAAATTTAATGCCTATTCATCCCAAAGTAGCCTGGAAACATCTTGTTTTATATACAAAGATACATCCTAGATCTAAATTCATTCTATGATTGGCTATATAGAAACGACTAGCAACAGTTGAGAGATTGCAGAAATTTGGAATCACTGTCCTCCCTGATTGTGTCTTTTGTTGCCAACACCTAGAAACATTCTCACATTTATTCTTTGAATGTAGTGTGACCAAGAAGATATGGAATTGTATGCTACAATGGTTGGGGCACAGAAGACAAATACAAGACTGGGAAACTGAAGTTAATTGGATGAGCCAGATTTCAAGACGAAGAGGTGGTGTTGCTAAAATCACAAGTTGTGTGTTTGCGATGGTTGTGGAGGTGATATTGATGCCAATGCCAAATATAGCGAGATATTTGGTGGTCCAACAAGTACAGAGGAAACTCAATTCGATACCTTATTATCTATAGAAATACAACAAGACATAGAGCAAGAGGATCAGACTTGTAATACTGAGGAGGTATTAGTCTTCAGAGAAAATCTAAAACTGTAGCTAATGGTTTTATGTCAGAGAATGGAGTTCCTGCAAATCATCTATCAACACAGGACACCAGAGAAAATGGTTCGAATAGATGGTTTGAGAAATTAGTGAGAAGACGTCAAAAGTCAGAGATTGATTTCACGCGTACTCCAGAAATGCTGTTGAAAGAAGATTACTCAATGCCACTCAAATAATACTACATAAACTTGTACAAACAGTAAAACTCCATATATACACAGAAACAACATTAAAACATACTAGAAATGAACAATTATCTTATCAGAAGTTGCAATGATAAAATAATTGGTATTATGTGTTGGCTGTTCTTGATGTCTAGTAAAGCTGGTCATAATGCACCTGTATTTGAGAAGTACCAGCAGAAAGCAAAGAACTTTATGTGTTCATGTCTTGCAAAGGGTGACAGAAATACCCAGAAAACTCCTGGAGGTCTCATCTATAGGCAAAGATGGAACAATATGTATTTTGTTACTAGTGCTGCATTCCTTGGCACTACTTATTCTGACTATTTGGCCTCTGCTGGTAAATACCTCAAGTGTTCTTCTGGTTCTGTTTCTCCGAATGAGCTTCTCTCATTCTCTAAGTCTCATGTAGAAATTTTAACTTTGATAGAGTGCTACAAGCCTGTATTATGACGATTCATCATAAATTAAAGCATGGAACTAGCAATGTGTTCTTGGTGAACTAATCATCATGTTTGATGTTGTTCTAGGTGGACTACATTCTTGGTGACAACCCGAGAGCAACAAGTTACATGGTGGGATATGGAAACAATAACCCAAGACAGGTACACCACAGAGCCTCCTCCATTGTCTCGTTTAAGGTTAATCCTAGTTTTGTTATCTTTCGGGCAGGCTATCCTACCTGTTATAGTAGAAAGGCGAGTGATCCTAATCTCCTTACTGGTGCTCTTATTGGTGGACCTGATGCCTATGACAACTTTACTGATCAAAGAGATAACTATGAGCAAACTGAGCCTGCCACTTACAACAATGCTCCGTTGATCGGTGTGTTGACAAGACTTCATGCTGGTCACAACGGTTACAATCATCTCCTCCCAGGTACATTTTAGTGAATTAACATCTTTATATGAGTATTTTGAGGATTCATCATAAAATGACTAGTTTTAGCTAGCCATCCACCTACTACAACTTGCTTGGGATTGAGACGTAGTAGTTGTTGTAGTACTAAATTATTCGTATAACTCATTTAGTCTCAAGTTCTAACCTGTAATGGAGAAAATCCACTCAATGACACATCCAGTGCGCTAAATTTTACCAGACAAGGAATTCTTACTCTTCTAAATGGTTTTGGCAGAGTAATTTGGTCCTCCGATTCCACTAGACATGGGCAAAATCAAGTAGCACAACTCCTTGATTCAGGCAATCTTGTTGTTCGAGATGCAGCCAAGGATAAGCCTCAGAACTACCTGTGGCAAAGTTTTGACAATCCAGGTGACACAACTTTACCTGGAATGAAGGTTGGGATTAATCTGAAAACTAGTTTTCATCGTTCCCTTTCATCATGGAAGAGCACAAATGATCCTTCCATAGGTGAGTTTACCTGGACATTCGATACTGGTGGATTCCTGCAAACATTCATTATGAATGGTTTCATTGAACTCTACAGAGTTAGACCATGGAATGTCCGAGTCTTTCCTAATGCACCATCTCATGACATATCTTGGAATGGTTATAACTATACATACTTATCTAATCCTAATGAAATATTATTAATGTATGAACTGACATGTAGCTCTATCATTGCAAGGGTAGTGATGCAACTAAATAGATAACTAATATACGGATCAAGACTACAATGATCGTTAGACCAGTTGACAATAATATGATAAATTAACACAATTTATAATTTCACTATACCAACTGAAAAGCAACAACAACCAGAACCAAAAGAAAAAAACTAATCACTTAGACTGTTTATGTGTGCATGACGCGCAATTAACAGTTTGTCGATTAATCCATATTAGACAAGAAAGAAGAATTAGTTGATCTCGTGATCATATAAATGTTAGGATTTACGCAATTAAAATAAAATTCAAAATTTTAATGAAATTTTCTCTAACCTTTCTTGTGTGAACACCTGGAACAAGTGATGATGGTTGTTGACAGTGTTTAAGTGGGTTATCAGGAACCTATTGCAAAAGAGGAAGACTATTATAATTAAGAGAAACTAAGTTTTCATCTAAAAAAAAGTATTTTTTTGTGAGCAACAAATTATTTCACCTGCTCTGATTTTAAATTTGCATCAACATTAATTCCCAAAGACTCTACATATGCTTGTATTCCTTCCTTCACTTTATCCGCTATAGTTTCTTCCATATCCATTTTTGTTTCCAATAATTTTCTCTCCATCACTTCGTTATTCTCTTTTGCTTCCTCTTTCGCTTCTAACAACTTTTTATCCATCGCTTCCATCTCTTTTTTTGCTTCATACATCTTCTCTGTCATCTCAATTTTCATAGCTGAGGTAGCTTTTTGAACTTCCATCTCAACCCTTGAATCAAAATATCTTTTTTCAGCCTGAGATCGTTTATATACGGGGCCATATACTAAGCTAGGAGATGCTCCTTTTCCTAGAGTTCGGACAATTCCATGAGTGTCTGATCCCATTACATGGGAGTACACATCATTAGGAGCACTTCCAGGGACATTCAACTCAGGATACACCTCGGCAAGATCATCCATTTGTTTCTTTTTGAAAGAAAGGTAAAGTAATGAGAAGTTTTAAAAAAAAAAATTGTAATAGAAAGAAAGTACCTATATACTTTTAAAGAGTAAGAGTTTACCATAACTTCACCAGCTATCTCATTTACTGGTTCTTTATTCGATCTAATGTGAGTTTTTTTAACACCTCAATACGAGTTGGCTTTACACCATTATTCATCTTTGTCATCTGTATGAATAGTAAGAGATTGACATTAAATATTCACGATAAGTATTATTTAATATTAGAAATAAATAGTGATTACTTCGTACATCGTCTATAATTTGAGAATGACTTTTTCTCCCTGATGTGTGTTGGCATAGTCAATTATTTTCGACTTTCTTGTTTCTCTCACTCTTTTCCTAGAAATTTGAACACAACAATATATAAGAGGACATGCACAATCTTTAATATATAAAATAAATAGCCAAGAAAAAATATAAAAAAGCAGCATAGTTGAGTTTCACAAAGTGCAATCAATTTCTATACAAGAACATTTTGTGCAGGTTGGCAAACTGGACATGTACAACAACATTATTTCTGCCAATCAGAAGAAAGGGACAAATAAAAAAGAACTTCTAGTTGTTCTACAATAAGAAGTATAATCAGGGAAAACACGACTTTAATAATTTATGACAACTTCTATGAAATTCTCATTTAGTAGAGCAAATGCGGAAATATAAATCTAGCACATACCTTTGCTTCTTTTGAGCTCCAACAATGAACTAATGAACGCCACTGATCTTCTTCAACTCTATCTGGACAATGAGCTAAACGCTCAATATCAGTGTTAAATGGGTCATATCCAATGGTTTTGCTTCATGCTTTGATTCTTTCCATTTAGATCCAAATGACATCATTTGTATGTGCTTCGTGTCATCAATTGCGTCAGTATTTTCCTGTACATATATTTAATACACAACTCATTTATAAAATAAAATATAAAAACAAAAACTTCTTCGTATATAGGTTTTGTGTATACTAAGAACCTTCATATGAGCCCATATTCTATCCTTGTACATACTAGGTACAAGCCTCCAATCTTTATGATTCAGTGGCGCTAGGATGCCATTTCGTGCTAGCACACCAAGGTTTGAACTCAATCTAGTTCCTTCTGACCCAATAACTTGACCATGTTCATTCAATTCAATATGTAAATTTCCACCATCTTTCTCCCATCCCGAGTGCATCATAGTGGGACCCCTTGTTCGCTTAGATTGCTCTTCACTCTCATTAGAATCTATAAATAATCAAAGATAAAAAGAGGCAAATTTATTATTTATATAAAAATTATTTAACTACATTACACTATGAAAGGAATAATAAATATCATGAGATTTAATACCTGGAAGATTTTTTGTATCATGTGATTCATCTATTTCATTTTGTGGCCAATTTTAGGGCGGTTGAGGCATTGACATACTTCCGATTTGTTGTTTTTGTTGCTCAGAATCTATAAAATCAAAGATAAAAAGAGGCATATTTTTGAAGAATAAATATCATGATATTTAATACCTGGAAGATTTTTTGTATCATGTGATTCATCTCTTTCATTTAGTGGCCAATTTTGGGGCGGTTGAGGCATTGACATACTTCCGATTTGTTGTTTTTGTTGATTCGAAGAATCATAAAAAAGCTCACCTTGACTAGAATTTCTCTGTCTTTT